AGGTTACGATATAAAATATAATTTTATAAATATATATCAAAATATCAGGCGTTGTTGTGGTTGTGTAGTAGAACACCCGCTAATTATATAGTTTACAAATAAAAATTAGCAAAGTCGATCTAGAAAAAATAGCAGTTTTAGCTTTTATAGCAAAAGATTTCCTATCTCTTGTGGAAAGCCTTGTTAACAAATCTAAAATATACACAATTATAAAAATGTTTACTGCTGTTTTAAAAAATTCTGATTGTAGTATAGCTGAGTGATACTACTACACGAATTCAAGACACCTGCTTTTTATAAATAGTGACTTTGTTACTTTAATATGTAGTTCAATCTATAATATATAGTTAGTAGCCACAATTGTAGATCTATATACAGCAATCAGAGAAGATTAAAATAAATTGTTAATGAGGCAATAGAAAAAAAATTTTAATCCTAAAATAGAAAATTTTCTAATAAAATAAAATTCTAATAATGAATAAAATAATTTTGTAATTAAGTCTATAAGCACTAAGCAATTACAAAGCTAAATACGAATAAAATTAATTTCTGAATTTCAAATTTTAAATAAAATCACGTTTAGCAACTTTGGTAACTTTTTATTAAAAAAAAAACGTAATTTTTTCTACAATTTTTTTTATTTTTTTTGTAGTACAGGGATACCAGATTTTATTTATTTATTTTTTTTTTTGCATTTTCTCTTTTGCGCACTTGATTCACAGTAATTTGAATCTTTTAAAATGGGTATTTAATAGCAATGATATACAGTAGAAAACAATGAAAGTATTCTTAATGAAGGCAAGAATTTTGCTAAAATATTTCGCGTATCATATGTACAGTGATTTAATAGAGCGTTTTTTCTTTGTATTTTTGTTTTTTTTTTATTTTTCAAGTACCAATTTTAGATTTATTCAAAGCAGCTCTTACACTAAAGTTCTATACAACGAGTAATTAAATAGTTCTAATTATTTGATGCTTAAAATGGTTAAAAGTACTTGTTATTGTTTAAAAAAAAGGGATATTAAAAAATACAATAGAAAAACTAGAAAAACAATACACACTTTATATTTGAAAAAAAAGGAGTTTTTACAAAAGTAAATTTTACAAACATGCATTACTCAATACATAAATAGATATACATAATTAAAAACAAAAAGCAAAAATTTTACTATACTTCAGTCAAGCACAATATTTAAATTCTTAAAATTAAAAAAAAAAAATGCATTTAATGTGGTCATCATATAACCGACTGCAAAATGTTCAGCATTAGTAGCAAAAATTTGTTTAGCAGAAGTATTCCAAGATAATGAAAATTTCCTATTTATTTAAATTTCTCAGAAACTTATAGTAATCTTCTAGTTAACATGTGTACCTAGATATGTTACCTTTTTGAGATCCGCCTTCCCTAAAAAAGGTACCAGTTAGTTTTGTTGATTTTAATTAGCTCCTTAAATATAGTTATGAATGTAATATCGGCTCTTCGGTAAAAGTCCGATTTCCAAGCGTCGATATTCATGAAAAATTTTTTGGTTCATTGTTTAAACTACAACTGAGTAATTAATTAATACATTGACTATTATCTTGTATATTGACGAAAGTGTGAATTTCGCCCTTAGTAAAAATCAAAATACACGCACCTGATTTCTCCGAAAACTTTGAAATATATAGCTAGCAGTAAATTTCGTTCTGTATTGCCGTGAAACAAAATTCTGTTTGAAATTTCCGACGTATGAAATTTGAAACCATTAAATAACCTCTCTTTTCATATGCAATAAGGTCAGTAATTAGTTGTAGAAAAAGACTTAAAATGTATATAGAAAAAATTAAAAAAATTCTTGAATTCAAATTCTATTCTGAGAACAAAAGCATTTAAAATTATTTATAGCAAATTATTTAATCTATTAAGTACTCGTAAAGCACATAATTAGATACAAAATTCATATTTTATATCGTTAGATCCCATTGAAAAGAATAAAAGAATTACCACTATCATAATGCACCATGGTTTCCGACTACTTTCTCAGGCCTAATATTCCATAGCAATTTCATTGAGGCATAGTAGTGCGATCATGTAATGGATATATTTGTTATGTCCATTAACTGTGGCTTAGATTTCCTTCCCAAAAAAGAAATATTTTTACAATATTTAATTAATAATATTGCAAAGTGCAATGTTGTATAAAATTGCTGCACTTACTATTAAAGGGTTGACTCAATTAGCAGGTACAACAAATATAAACAATGTTCAGTTGTAAATTTTTTTTTTTTGTAAAATTGGAACAAGTATTAATCGTACGACCTTATACTCTTACATTTTATGCATTTAGTGGGCTGAACGGTTTAACAATAAAGCATCATTTGTATATAAAGTAACTCATTTTTCTTTGGAAGTTGAGTTACAGTTTTGAACCCTATAATACACTATCATTAAGGTTTTGCAAGAATAATAATTATTGAATAAAATTGAAACCTAATATTTGCTAATTTAATCATAATCATTTTACTCACTTATATCATTTAATTTTAAAAATTTTCTCTTTTATTTGGACTAGATTAGCTTAAAGCATAAAATCTATAAATGGCTCTAAAGGAAATTCTTTCAATTTTCTTATATCAATTTTTTTTTTCGAATCCTCTTTTTTTTTCCTGTCTTTTGAAATTTGAATCTTTACACAATCTATATATAGGAAGATTTAAGTTATTTTTCATATGACCACACAATATTTGGCCGAAAAAAAAAATTAGGAAAATATTAAAGGAAAAAATTTAGATATGGCTTAAAGGAAAAAGGCAAAAAAATAAACAACAAAACAAAAAAAAAAACCTTTTAGAAACAATTTATAAAGTTTTTGACTAAAGTGAAAAGTTTCTTTTTTCTTTGTCTCTTAATTTTCTTGTTCAAGTTCTTGAATAGAAACTTAGAAAAAGTCCCAAAGACATTCATACTTGTATACAGCCTATTATAATCGTATTTCACATATAAAGAATAACATTTTAAGTAAAAGAGGGAATAAATTCCCAAAATCTTAAATTGTGGGGCCTTTTCTCTTTTTTTTTATTTTATTTTTCTAATTCTTAATAATTTTCATTTTATTTTTTTTTTATACCTAATCAAAGAAAAATTCATTTTCAAGTTTTCCAAGTTATTTTTCTTTCCTTTTTCTTAAGAGTGAAAGAAAAAAAAACAAATATTCTGTAAGATTTTGTCCTACTACAAAAATGACGCCCTTTTCTTATACTGATAAAGTAAATTAAATCTATATAAATTTCGGCAAAAATTCTTATTCAACAAATTCCTCTTTTATTTTGTTGGTATTTAAGTTCCATGTATAGGAACTTGAGATAAATTATTCAAAGTTTTCTTTTTGTCCTTATTTTTTCAGAAAATTTCGACTTTGTTTTTTAATATAGTTATAAAGAAATCTAGAACTAATATGAGAAATTCGAATACACTAATGAATTTATTAAAAAAGTAAAATTTTAAAAGGAAAATTATCAAATTTTGTAAACTGTGTGTAACAAACTAAATTAATTCAATTGTTTATTTCTATTGAAATGCATTTCACAAGGGTTCTAATTTTTTTTTTTAAACTTTAGGGAATTTCAGGTTTCATAGTAAGATTTTTTATAATAAAATTTTAGCAACAAGGTTTTTATTTCTTTTAATTTTTTATGTATTTATAAATGAGTCTTAATATAGAAGACATTAAAATGCCAATACATTTGTTAAAATATTTAAAATTCAAAGCTTTAGTAAAATTTAGTTATTTTAAAATAATACCTGAGTATAAGTGTCCATATTTAAAGCAATACAATCTTATAGCCTACAGCAAAACTTTCAAAATATCGCTTGTAATGACCCGGCCCCGTTAATATTAGTATTACGTTAGTACTCAAATCCATCAAGAATAAAATTTTTAATTTGCTTTCAACTCGTTCGATAAAAAATGCACTACTATTTTCTCTTACATTGAATTCGTATGGTAAAATGTTCATTTTCGCAGTGGCTAGTGTTTGCTCAATACAGGATTTTTAATATCAAGCTGTTAGATTTTTTATATGATCTTGTTATTTAAAATTCTGGATAATTAAATTCCTTGTTATGTTTAAAACATTAACCACAGAACATTACGATTATCGTAAATTCATATTTGTTTTATAAAAAATAAAATTAATTAATTTATGCTTTTTATTTCATATAAAACATAATTAACTAAAGATGTTGAACTAAGACCTTGAATATGAAAATCAGATATAGTTTACCTTGATCTTATTCAATTTTAAACCTAGTTTTTAATAGAAACCACAAACGTGTTGTAAATTAACATAATATGTCCGAAAAAAGTTACACAATTTACTTGTCAGTTTTGGCATTACAAGACTAAATACAAAACTAATTCTTTAATTTATTAACATTAATCATCCTTTATCTGAATGGTACACAAAACTATTGCCCATTTAGTCATTTGTTTTTGTTTTTTTCTGATTTTCCAAAAACTTCTGGTTTGATGACCTGTAAAACATTATTAATAATGAACTAGTATCTGAAAAATAATTTTTCATTAAAATAAACCTTTTTTTTTTCTAGTCCTGTTTTTCTCCTCTAATTTTTTTTTTTTGGGCCTTGAAAAATATTTTCAATAGAAAAACTTTTCTCAATTTAATCGAACTTAAATAATCCATTTTCCCTTCCATATTTCAATTAATTGATCTTATCTTATTCAACAATATTATAATGGTATTTTTGTATTTATTATGTATAAAATGTATGTGCCTGTGTTTAACAATCAAAAAGAAAAATAAAAATTAAACTTCAACCTATACCAAAATCCTCTTCTATATATTGTGATTGTTTCCTTCATTTTTTTTTCGAACAAACAAAACAAAAAGTAAAGTTATCCGACCTTAATTTAAGGTACACCTTTACTAATTGTAAAAGTATCCTTTTTAAAAATTAATTTTCTTTTATTTATACTATAAAAGTATAAATTTAATTACAGGTGAAACAACTTGGAAATAAATCTGTATCATGGGTTCGTGTACGAGATGGACACATATTGACTGTTGACAGGTAATTAAAATTTTTTCAAGAACAACATAAAATAGAAAAAACAAAATCACAAATATAGAAATATAATGAAATTTTACTATAGTATATAAATTATTGTATAACAGTAACAAAGGATATAGCTAGCCAATATAATTCGGAAAATACTGCCCAATTGGTTTTAAAATGCTTTATTGAGAATGTTTTAGAATTTAGATTAAAATATATAAACTTTCTTGTTTTGTATACCAAAGAAATGAGCAATGTTTTACACCCAAAACGTTCTTTGTACTTAAAACATATTAAATATTATCTAAATAATAAAATGTTATACCGATAAATACCACTCGACGGAATGGTTAAATGAAAAATGAGAGAAAACCGATGCTCTACCGTATAAAGTGCTTGAATAAAGTACAGAAATTTTAACATGTCAGTAACTTTGTCAAAATGTTACTGAAAAATTTAGGAATAGTCTGCTGTCTTCAACATTTGTTTCCGACATAATTTCTCCAAGAAAATTTAAATAAATATTTGTTTCATTTAGAGCAAAACCTCCCATCTATCTATAACTCTTTTTAAAAAAAATTATTCGGAAAATTTATTCTTGAGAATTGAAAATTAGAGAACTACTTAAATTAATTTCAATTCAGGAGTTCCAATATTAACAATTCACTATAATTACCTAAGTCCTCACAAAAACATTAAATTATTTAATTTAAGAGCTTTACTTAACATCCAACAGAGGCGCAAACAATTTGAAATCATTATTTTGAAATAATGCCAAAAATTCTGACTGGGTTTTTCTCATATTACATATTACATGTAGTATTCATAGCACTTATACATACCTACATTATACATACATATGTATATGAAATGTGATATACAAAATAATTAAGAAATCTTTGCACATGGTATACATTTAAGTTGAAGAGAAAATAAGATTAAGAAATAGAAAGAGAAAGAAATATAAAAAGTTTTTGTTTACTATTTCACTCTGATTAATTTTGACCAACTTTTGGTAAATTAAAGTTCATTTGTAATCTTGTACAAATCTGTCTGCCTCTTATTATTTGTTAAAAGAATCAAACTAATTACACGTGGTTAAACTTATAATTGAAAAATCTTAATTATTATAGAACCTATATACAATAATTACTTTAAATGATAGATGATTACATATGGAATCAAAATAATTCAAGTAAATTAAAACAGAAACTAACAATTATCGCAAGAATTTTACAAATTAATTTGTTTCTCCTATATATTTATGGTTTTTCTAATAAATAAGGAAAATATAAGCAAATCCCGAAAATTCTATTTAATTAAGAATTAATTTTATTCATATTTCAAAAATGTATTCTTAGTGCATTTAATAATATCTTGAATGCTGTAAAATTGAATGAAAATACATTTAAAAAATTGCCTTTATTTGGGGGCACTGAATGCAAATTGTATTAATTATATAAATGGAAAAAAAATAATTTTAATTATTTTTTATACACATATATTAGGGCTTTCAATATAAAATCAAAACCATTCCATTAATAAAAAATATATTTTCGTGTTCCGAAACAAGTATCAAAGGTATTGTAATTCAAATATCACCATATACAAGGTCTATCTTGATATGGAAAAATGTAAAATTCTTTGTAACAATTCTTTATTAAAAATGTTGTTTAATTATTTGAGTAATCGATATTATCAACATGTTAATATGAGAACATGTCCTTCAGAATACAACAAATAAAATAAATGTGAAAAAGTGACTTAGGGATGGATACAAGATTAATTTATATACGTGGGGTGTAATATGAATCGAAAGGAAAATTTCAACAATATTGTTGACCCCAGTTTGATTTTTGAAAATCGTATATTTAACAATTAATTCTTTATATTTAGTTTTATGTAAGTGTGTAAATATAATATTACAAAAAAACAAAACACTTAAGCTCTAGTAATGTCCTTGCCGTAATGTGAATAATAAGAAATTTTAAGCCATTTCATAAAATAATACTTGATATTTTTATTCAGAAAATTAATTTTTAATTAAAAATTTAAACTGAAAATTTGTGACGCGAAAATTTTTATAGAAAACTCATATTAAATTCCAGAAATTTTTTTGTTAATAGCAGTATGTAGTTGGTTTAGAATGAATGTGAAATAGTTCATTTAATAAATCTCCTATAACAGAACATTCAACAAAAAACTTACAGACTAAATACTAGCTTATAATATTGATATGTAGTTGAGCATTCAATGTTAATAAATTTAAAAAATATATTGACTTTTATATATTCAAATAAATTTTAAGAATGCCCAACAAAATCTTCAGTTTGAATACTTTTTGATAAAATCGAATTAACTGTCCCAAATTGTCATTTTTTCGGGTATTTATCATTTAGAAAAATCGGTGAGCTTTGAGAATAACAGGAAACAATTTTGAGAAATTCCAGAAAGGTTTCTCAAACTTATTTCATTTTAATCCACGACATCCAAGCGTTTACATCAATTTTTGCGGGTTATTTTAAACTATACTCACATCATATCGTCATATTCACATGTTATTGGGGGGAATTTATTTATTATGCAAGTTTGTAAATTTCATTTCACATTTTACGAATTTTTCTGAAGAATTTTACACTTATAGTCTGTTACTCATTTACTCGAAGTAACAAACCCTTGCCAAATTAATAAGGACTTTTTGTGTTTCTAAAACAATTTTTCAATAACTTTTAATAAAATTTTTAAATTGCAATGAAATTTAAATTTCAAAAAAAATTTAAGTCATATTATTTTTAAAACCGAATAATTTTTTTTTATACACTTACACTCAATTATATTTAAAAAAAAACTTTCATGTCATTACCATATACTCGTTATATAAAAAATCTACATAAATAATTCTTTTGGAAAGCTTTTATTTTAAAAGTATTGTGTTTAATAAAAATTGAAAAATTGCAAATCAATCATATTGAAAAACATAAAAAATCAATATTTCTACTATCACAATCAATCAGAATTTCATTGTTATCGTTATGCAAGTATATTTTATATTATTCAATTTAAATCTGTGATTTGCTCCACATTATTTGTAATTACTTTTTAGTATATAAAACTTAACATATATAAAATTTCTGTTTTGAATGGTGCATAAATTATTTTCAAATTTTTTTAATGGTTTCAAAATCAAAAAAAAATCAAACAATTTTTTTGTTATCATAAAATTCACAATAGTTTATTGAACATCAAAATATTAATAAATTTAATTTAACATTACTCACCCAAAAAATGATATTTATGACAAAATTGTCAAACTACAAAAAAATGTTGAAAACATAAATGTCCCTATTGTTCTAAAGAAATACTCTATAAATTTTATGAGTCAAATATCTCTTCAACTCTCATGAAATCGAAAAAAATATAAAAAGAGAAAGAGGTTGCTATGTTAATTTTGTGGTATCCATATAATTCACAATTCTTTGAGCTAGGCAGAAGAATCAACAGAAGAATTCATAGAGAGTCCACTAATTTTCTCTTATAGGAAGTTCGTCGACTATATTAAAAACTTGTTTATGTAAAGTTTATATATAAAATTCGCGTAAAGTTGCTTATAAATATGAATATAAAAAATTAATTAAAGCTGCGCGAATAAAGCCAAATTAAAATGACAAACATATAAAAATAAACCGATAAGTTCAATTATAATGTAATGGTCAGAAAACCTGCATCTATCATGTGAGGCTAGGGATATTAAATTTGAACCAATCAAAATCTGATTCAAATGCGCAAATCCGATAAATCGAATATAAAAGAAATTTACCACTTTTAATGTTGTCATTCGACGTTGAGTGCGGAATTCTATAATTTAGTTAAATTCACCTCTAGATCTCACATTTACAAAAATTTTCAATCTTTCTTTTGAATTTTTTTTCTTGATTCATTGCAATAGGATAAAATTTTTCCTAGGTATTTATTTGAGAAAAGTTCAAATTCATAATAATCTTATAATGTAATAAACGTATTTATTTTTTTAAGTAAAAAATATGTCATATTCATAAAATACAAATATATTTTGATCTTATTTTAAAAAATCACTCTAATATTTTCTATACCATAACTTCAATAAGTACCTGTACATAATTATTATAAAAAATCTATAATATCCTTGTAAAAAGTCCTAAAATCACCTAAAGTTACAAACGAATTCTGAGAAAAGATGATTGTATATTATTTAAGGATATTATTTTGTATTATGATTAAAGTACACAAAATTTAAAAGTACATTTTTATTACACTTTATACCCAAAAATTTATAAAATTTGTGATTTTGAAAAAAAATTTTTCTGTAGATTATGGACTAGAATAGAATTTTTCTGTAGAATTTTGATTCTAAAAATTTGTAAATAACATTTATTCATAATATGTGCCATGTGAACAAAAAAATATACATACAAACGATTTATATAATATAATTTTCGGATAACATAAATTTTTTAGATTCAATATAGAAATCCGATAAAAGAAACTTTCATACGTGTTACGATATCAAAATTGAAATCATAAAAAATCAAATTTGGTTGTATGAAAGAAAATTATTTTCTGGAAATGAAACATTTAAATTGCGGTGGGTACTACTTTTAGGTACTACTTAACTTAACATAATCGTATACCAAAATTGAGTGTTACTCTTATATTGTTTCGGTTGTTCATAAAATAGTGACGCTACTTCGTATATAATCTCTTCTATTTTTCGCCTTCTACCGCTTGCTGTTCCATATTAACTTTCAAGAATTTAAATTTTTTTTGAAATTTTTATTCACCAATTGCATGTATTCCATATTATGCAAATTAAAATTAAAATTAAAATACATTGCAATCCTTTTTACTCGTTATTGTTATAAATGTATAATAATTAAGCAAAATTTTTAATGCAAAATTTAATATTAAATTAAATTTCAAAATGCCTTAATTTTCTACTCTGATTTTGCTATTTTAATATCACTAGCAATCTATAAATT